ATAGTACCTGGTGATCCACAACCTGATTTACAACATCGTCGAACAACAGTATCTTAATATTTGAAAGGAGAAAATTTCTGTTTGAGTTTTTTTTTCACATAAATTGACTCACTGCCATCGTTTGCATTAAGATAAGTCATACATGCTTGACAGTCTGAAACTAGTGTTGCCTGGTGAACAGCACAATCTGGATTATGTGCAGTACAATCAAAACAATATAATGATGACGTGTTCCCTTCTGATCGATTTCTTAATTGAACTCGTTTGGAAGGTTTGTCTTTTTCAATAGCTGAAATTACTTCTGTTATTAATAATGCAACCGATGAATGCCTTTACCTAAGAGTTTCTGGTCTGAATGAATACCATTGCATCTATCTGTCGAACACACGTATGCTTTGTGACTTTTTTTATTATTGCAATCATCCAAACAACAGCGTCTCACTATAATATCTTTTTAAATATTTTGATAATGGATTTCATTTTGAAACAATTGAATTATTTTGTTTCCTTACCATTATTGTCTTCATTTAGATAGGTCATACATTCTCCAGCACAATCAACGACATGATGAGTTCTTCCATATCCACAAGATTTATTTCCCGAACATTGATAGCACTTCAAACTTTTACAACTAGTTGGATAGGTGATGAAAACGGCAAATAGTAGAACAATCACAGATGGAGATAGTATCATATTTTTCTTTCTGGACTGTAGTAGTTGATTCTTATGAGTTGTCTTATTTTATTAATAAAATACTAATCTCCGCCCTCATTTGATTTTTCTCTTTTATCAAGAATATTAAAAAAAAAACAATTTTATTGACAAACACTTAAGAAAACGTAGCTTGACTGTCTTCTTCAGTTTCACTTTCTTCCTCTTCAACAGGTAATAAGACACCTGGTTGAAGACTATAACTTGATTGTTCAGGCTCTGTTGTAATTGTGATTGGTTCTTCCTGAGGTGGTGGCTGGTCATGTGGAAGTCGATGTTTTTTGATTTTACCAGTTTTACTATCAGTATGCCATAACTCTGGTGACCAAACTTCAGGCACATCATTATCACTAACATTAGTATTCGCCACATTTTGAATATAATTTGTAACAGTTGTAGTTGATTTATTTTCGTTTTCACCAGGTGATGGTGTTGATGGCTAAAAAGAATCAATATAGGTTTATTCTCAATTAAATAATAGTCACCTGCATACAGAAACGATAAGCTTTTCAATTATTTTCATAGCAAGGTGCGTATAGACTATATGACCATAGAATATTCTTACGTATCAAATTATTTAGGATCATTCAAGGTAATCGAAACTTTTGATATGAAATAAAAATTAAGATAGGATTTATATGAATTCAGTTTCTCATCAGAAGAAAAACCCAAATCACAATATTTTGCGGTCTTGCTTTATATATCATTCTCGTTTTTTTACAAACTGCTAGGAGTAAAGTTTCATAACGAAGATTAACTAATTACTTTAGACCAGAGTTTACAAACTAAAGTTATATTAGCCATCATAAACAGAAAGTTTTAATATTTTCTCTGGATTTTTTTTCTTTTAATGTAGTACCCAAAAATTCACCAAGAATGACTATGTATTATATACTATTGATTTCAGTATTTATACAACAAATGTCAATTTTCTTAGAGCTCACAACCATTCAGTATATTCTTACATCATAATTATAAAACACACATATGATGCGATTTACTCTTTTTTTTTGTAAAAAAACGTTACAGGAAAAAATTCAAATTTTAATATTCTATACAGTAAATTAATACTAAAGCGTACACACTTCACACTCATGCTCATCTGTATTATCAATTAAACTTCAACATACAATTAAGTCATAATAACAATAATCAAAATATTTTGTTTATACAATCATGATATCTTTTAGTACCGGATTGAAAAAATCCTATTTCAATTTCAACAATATTTTAAACTCTCTTGTCATATATATTCAAATGAAAATTATTTCTAAAGACAAAAAATTAATTTAAACAAAATCAACTTACTTTATCCAATAATGGTGCAATTAATCGTTCCATAGCAGCTGCTAAACGTAGATCTTTTTCTAGATTCATTATTTTTTCTAATATTGTATTTTTTGTATTTAATTTTCGAACTTCATTTCGAATTTCTTGTACAATAGGAACATCTTGATTCAAATTACAATGATAAGCTTCCAATGCTTCTTTTAATGATCTAATAAGAGAGAAGATATTTCTTTTGATGGAAAAATTTTCTTTTCTCATCTTACTGAACAACAATAGGTTCTTTTTCAATTAAAAGTCGACTTTGTAATGTATCAATAATATCTTCACTTGCTTTTTCTAATAGAACAAGAGCATTTGGTGATGCTGCACGTACTAATGGACTTTTATCATATCGAACAGCCCATAAAAGAACACTTCGACATTTTGCATTTGTCATTCCATATAAACCAAGTGCTAAATATATTATTAATAAAAAAACAAAATATATATAATTGAAAGATAAATTAACCTTCAACAGCTGAATATCGAACTTTTTCAATTGGATCAAATTCAATACGATCAATAAGTAAATTTCTTATGGTTTCATCACGTAATTGTAATCTATATGTTGTACGACAAGCATGATCACGTACACTAACATGAGTATCTTTAAAACATTTTAAATATGGTTGCATTAATTTAGCTGTTAAAACACCTGAAAAAATATTTTTATAGATAAAAAACAAAAAGAAAAATATATTAAATAAATATTTCAATAAACAAACCAAGATAACCAATAAGTTTAAGTGCTTCAACACGATCTTGCCAATGATGACTTTGTAAACGTAAAACAACTTCTTCATGTACTGCTTGACCACAACCACATTTACCTAATGCTTGACCAGCTACACGACGTACACTACTATTCATATCTTGCCACATAAGATGAATTAATTTTTGTGTTATATCCTATTAAAAAAAATATTTTATTTAAAACAAAAAATAAAATTTTTTTTTTTTTAATTTGTTTTTACTTTATTTGGTCGAGATTTAAGTAATGGAAATAGTTTACAAGCAACAATTCGATCAGTAGAATCAGCAGAATTTAAATATTCACCGGCTAAACTATATACGAGATTCTATTGAAAATAATAAGAAAGAAAGAAAGAAATATTTTGATTGAATTTTTATTTTTATTTACCGTTCGTTGACTTAATCTAGCTAACGCAAGAATAAGTTGTTCTCGTGTTAATTCATCTTCAGCATCAAAATAATTTTTTAATAATTCATGTATTATATCTGATGTTGAGTAATTAAGACTAGCTAAACATTGTGCAGCTGTTAATTTATCATCAGGATTACCATTAGCAACACATGAACGAAGAATAACTTCTACCTAAAAGAAAAAGCGAATCAAAATATTTCAATTAAAAAAAAAACTTTTTTTTGTTAAAAATAATACTTGTGAAGAAAACCGATGTAATGTAACAAGTGCAATAGCAGCAGCTGTTCGTACACGTTCGTTGGAATCATTAAGTAAAGATTCAATTGATTGAAGTAATTTTTCAGGAAGAAGATGAACTTTTAAACCCAGATCTACATAATAAAAAGACGTTTTTCTTTTTTTTTTTATAGCATTTAAACCTTATTGCATTTAGTACCTATTTCTTTTTGAGTAAGATATTGAGCAGCTCGACTACAAACAACAATAGCAGTAAAACGAACCTAAATAAAATAAAATTTAACTATTATATTTATTAATCATACCAAAAAAAAAATAGTAAGAAACAAACATGTGGATGTATATCATGTAAGTCTTCATATAGTTCTTCAACATCAGCATCAAGCCATTGACATCCAACTTGCCACTTACGTCTCCATTCTTAAAAATAACAAGAAAACAAAATTTTTTTTTTCTATAAAATATTCTAAAATGATTTACCTTCAATAATTCGACTAATAGTTGTATTGGATTTTAATATTTGATGTAATCGAGAATCTGATGTTGATGGCATAAGCCATGATAATGATAAATCATTAACATCAGGTGATCGAGGTGGATGCTAAAAATATGAATAAAGAATTTCTTTTTTTTTTTATATGTTTAACTTTAATTTTAAAATTAAAATTAGTTCAAGCAAAAGAAGAAGAGCTACTGAGAGTACATGAAATAGCAAAAAAACCTGAGCAAAAAAAGCTTGAATTGCTGCTGCTCTATTGATTTCATGTTCTGACATGGGCATTTGCAGGTGAGGACTCTAAAAATTAGTGTAAAAAAACATGTGATTTCGTGTAAAGACACATTTAATTCGTGCTAGAAAAGGATATAAAAGGTATTCAAATGGAATAAGCCAATTTTTCATAATGAAAATACCATATCTTTAACTTCAGGTAATGCTTTCCAACGACGAAAACCTCGTGTTGGTTTTTGTCGATCAAATGCAGCCGATGAATCAATTTGAAGAGCTAAATTAAAATGAATAATTAATTATTGTAATATTAACAATAAGATTTTTACTTGTAGCTATTGAATCAGGATCAGGTGGCAGTTGTTTTTGAAGAACTTTATCAAATTGAAGTTTATCCGAAAGAACAATAACACCTGGTTCATCTGTTGGTTTATGAATATTATTACCTAAATGAATTTTATTTTTGTTGACTTTATTATAATTATAGATGAACTAATATTTCTTTTACCAAGAAGCATTGCTTGTTCATATGGATGATCTGTTCTATAGACTGTACTTAATATTTTATTTGACATTATATCATAAAATGATGTTTCACGACGTATCAATGTATTTCCTGCAATTATTTGTTGAGATGGACGAATATGTGCTGTTGCTAATTGAAGATCGAATATTGATTTTTAAAAATTTAGATATTTTTCAAATAGTCCTACCATCTTCTTTTTTCTCTTCTTTTGCTCGTCGCCGTAAACCACGTGGTAAACGATACAATGGAATTTCTCGTTTAGGTATATCAGCATCTTTTTCAGGTATTTGACTTTGTAATCTAAATAGAAAAATGATGTTTAGTAAGTATATTAATAAGTATCGCTTCTTCTGACTTGTTCGAATCATATTCTTCGACTTTTTTCTCTTCATCATCAGTCGTTGGAATCTAGAAAAAAAGACTACTGTAGATTAAAACAACAAGATACATATTCATTTGATCATTTTACCAATTCCATTTCTTGTGGATTTGGTAATTTTGTGATATGATATGTTTTTTTTAAATATTCAATTAATCGACCTCGACGATCATCTATAAATAAAATTAAGCACATAGAATTTGATCTAGTCTTAAATTATAAATTTTTAATATCAAAATATATGTTAAGGCAGATAAGAGTTTTCATGAAATCGTCAGCAACGTTCCAGTTTAAAATAAATAATATTTTCCAGATCGATATCGAAATGTGATATTTATTCTTTTCTGTACCAAAAAAGTTATTTACAAAGGAAATCCTCCAATTGACAAATCGATATTGAGTTAAAACTGCTTGTGTTATGTAAACTCAAATGATCTATGAATACTCTGAAAATAATTCGGATCTTTAGCTTATTACTGCGATTTCTATGACGGTTTTGAAACGAACTTCGTAGTCATAGAAATATTGACTTTCGAATTTCAACTTGAAACTTTGCGTAGAAACAGATCTGAGCAAGGGTAATTTTAGATCTTTCAAATTTGCTTCAGTCTTGCATGATGAACATCAAATCTGCCGGTTTATATGAACAATATCAGCAAAAAGCTATTATTATAGTTGTATCTTTGGATAGAAATAGCAACAAGATCGAGAATATTTAAAATAAACTATTATCGCTAAGGTCTGTTTCTATACAAACTGTCAAGTTGAAATGCGAAAATCAACTTTTCTAGTACTCCTCCGGGGACTACAGAATTCATTTAAAAGAATACTGTAAAGATGCTATATCTTTACAGCATTTTTCTTGAAAGTAAATATCTCTTTCATTCGATTGTCTATAGTCGTGCAAATTTAAAGTCATGGCGATAAAGTAATAATTACATTCAAACAGTATCTACTTACCATCATGAACATGTTTTAATATAATAAATTTAGCTGTATTTTCATCCATATGTTCAAACATATACTTATCCCAATTTCGTTCCATTTGAGCAAAATCTTTTTCTGCTATAATTCTTGCTTGTTGTTCTATATTATCCTGACCACGTCGTATTCCACCTGTATTTTCACTAGTTTCTTCTGATGATTCTGATCGTGTTGTAGGTGTTAAATGATCATCTATAATTTGTTGTTTAGAATCTTGAATATGTTCATCATAATCATCAATTTCAGTCATATAAAAAAGTGATTGTTGTGGTCGAAATTTTACTGGTTCGATTGCAATAGGTTTTTGTGCTAAAACTCGACGTGCATGTTCCCATCTTGCTTTGGATATTGTTAGTGGAACAAGTGGTTGTAAACGACGAGGTGGTCGTGGTGAACTACTTATTTCACGATTTGGAACATATAATGATCGACCATTATAATTTGTAAATGATATAGTTGATGGACAGATTTTTTGTACAACATCAGCATCAAATTCAAGTCCACTACTAACAAATGATAGTAGATTTGATTCCACTGGTTTTTTATCATTTAAAAATGGATTAGGTTTTAGTAATTTCTAATAAAATAAATGAATTAAAAATTTATTTAGTAAGAAAAAAAAAATAATAGTATTGTTGCATTTTTTTTTTACTTCTGGAATGGGAATATTTGGTAAAGATTTTATCTTTGTTGTTGCCATTAAACAAGAAGATAATTATTTTTCTTTTTTCTTGATTAATATAAAGAATTCTTTTTATTTGTATTTCAATAATAAGAATCTATTTTCAATCCATTTTTATTCCAGTTACCTTAACAAATCCTCTATTTTGCTTTTAAAATAAGACTTATTGGTTATTATGCACCAATCTGTATTGTCAGAACGAAATATGACGTCATATGTGCTTACATATATTCACAACTACATTACTCAAGACTAAAATTTTGGTTTTTTTTTGATACAAGTAACTGAATTTATTTTTATTTTAAGATTATGACTGATAGAATGGATACTAGTATGGAATATCCATCATTTGATCTTCAATCAATTCATGTTTCATTTGAGGTAGATTTTATTCTTTATATTCAAAAAAAAAAAGAAAATAAATTAATAAAATTCGAAATTAAATTTCATCTTTTTCTATTTAGGAACGACGTTGGTTAGTAAAACAAAGATATTTACATAAGTTAGATAATTTAATACAACCAATTGTTGATCTTCAAAAAGCGATTCAGCACTATGACCAATGTAAGTAGACATATTTGAAAACCGTGTTTGTTTTATTTTTTATTTAACTCAGAATGAGTTATTTTTTGAAATCAGAAACATATCTAAATGATAGTTTCATAGAGATTCACAAAACTTCACTATCTCTACTCTTGAAATATAATGATCTTGAGTTTTTATCGTTAGAAAAACAAAATCAGATATAAAGTATTAATCGATATTTCCCACTGAAGGTATTTTCTCAATAACTGAATAGTATTTCGAAAATTTCATCATGTTAAATTCGATCAGATACAAAAAATATCATTCATAGTAGACATAAGCAGAGTCAGCTTTTTTCATATCTCGGACGTTGGCTGAGAAAAATTTTCTAACACTTACCCTAATTTGTAGCCATTAGAAATATAACCAGAAATTTCCCAAGGAGGTGTGTGCACACCAGTAGGAAAATAACTTCTTTGTTTCTCAAAAAAGATTATTATCCATAGCTCCACCTAATCGTTTTTCGCCATGGGAGTGTACAAGCACTCCTGGCTATGCCCCTGCCTGCAGGATAGACTAACTCTGCATATTTCTAGTTCATAGGTTAAATCTACAGTTATTTAGACTTATATTATAAAAATTCATGCTTTTTTTATGAAAAATTCAAGATCAAAATCAGGATACTTTTGAATAATTTAGTATATCGATTTTCATATCATTAATGATATGACATTTTACTTCTTAATAATGAATATCTTAGTCTACCTAGCTGTTTGTATTCTTGAAGTTTTCTAAGAACGGATACACTTATTATACAGATAATGAGAAACATTATTCAAAAATAAAAATTCATTTACAGTACGATATTTTTTCTGTAACAAAGTTTACTATCAAAGAAAATGAATGATTCAATTACATTTCGTGATGTATTTTCTATGAACATTGACTTCATCTAAAAAATAATGATGTTCCGAGCAGTGGGAGTGCCAAGGATATAACCTCAATTCCAGTGGTCTCGAGACATTCGTCGTAAAATAAATAAGGAATATCATTATCTCCATTGAGAATTCTCTTAGAATAATAATTGATTTAAAATTCTCTTTAGTTTCTATCATATCAACATCATTATCATCTTCATCTATGATACCAATAGTACGCTTGGATGATGAACATCCTCTATATTATGTTAGTATTTTAAATATTTTTCTATAATTTTTCTACTAAATTTTATTTTACATAAATAGTCATCTGTTGTGAATGGTTGTACAGATAATCAAATTGATCAATTTCGTCTTCATAATCAACAAATGTTTCAATTAATATTTAATGATTTATCTACTAATTTAAATTATCGTATATTCATTATTATAATCGAAGGATTTATTTTTTATTCATCTCAAACAGCAGTAAGAATTTAATGAAGTTTTCATTAAAAGGAAAAAAAGTTCAATATATTCATGAAATTTAGATTTATATTTCTAGAAACAATATAACTCAAGTATAACACATGAAATGCATAGATGTTTATCATCATTTGATACATATATACGATCACGTTCATCAAAATTAACTAGTCTTTTATCATTCTTAACTAAATTATCGATATCATCTTATACAATTGTTCATACAAATAATGAAAATAATGTTGGCATACTTTTTCAAGTATTACCTAAAGTTCATTATTTTTTAACTCCAACAACACCGTATAATTCAATAATAGCTGTTGATCAATATGCTAAACATATTATTTCACCTGAAGAACTTCGTTTTATTGATTATACTATGAATATAAACAATAAATCTGATTCAAGATCTGTTGTACTTCAATCACCAACTTATACATCTCCAAATGTAACACTTCCTTTTAATGGACCACTAGGAGGAAAAAATGGATCGTTGACACCATTTCCTCTTCTTTTTCAAGTTTATCATTCATTACCAATTATATATCCATATGATAATAGTAAGTCAAACGATGAATATTTCATACAAAAAAAACAAAACACAATGGATGTTTTTTTTTTCTTTTCATGTCTTTAGATATGGTATATAGTCAAAAATATCCTACATTTTGGACGGGTAATGTGCATACTAATGAAAATAGTGATGCTTTATTTCAAGTAATTACACTTGATACAAATTCACCAGAATTTTTATTTGTTCAACGATTATTTTATAAAACAGTTTCTGAAACAGATATTAAAATTGCAGTAGTAAGTATTAATTTTAATTTACATTACAAAAAAAAATAACTAATAAAACAGAAGAATATTAACAAGGAACACTTGACTTTTTGAATATATTCCACTATTGAAATGTATGAAATTACATCAAATTTGTTAGTTTATCTTCGATACTTTTTCTTCATCTGCGAAATACTTAATATCTCATGAAAGAAACGAAGCTTATAAAAGGTTCAGTTTGATGTGTGTATGCAAGAATATTCTCTAAAATTTTGAAATAAAAACGAATCATTGTGTTTGAATAAGTAATTTCTCTTGTATTAGAATCGTATTATTTGGTTTACTATATTCTTGATTTAATTAAAGCTTAATTAATTATCTTAAGAAAAGAGTTCGATCAATCATATTCAATGTATGATTGATATACTTAGATCTGGATTTATATTGACCAGGTGCATATAGTACGACTCGATGGACTTTAATCTGTGTGTCACAAATAAACTTTTATTTTTTCCCTAAGAGAAAAGAGTTTAAAAACAAATAAAATGTGTTCATGTGTCATCATGCTTTGTCTAACATAAGATGTAATAAATTTGTTACTAAATACGTTCTAAAAGAGCACAATGTGCTTGACACGACGGATTAATTTACTTTGATAAATCTTCATCCTAAAGTATCTGAAAAGTTCTAATTTCGAAATCTATTGAGTCACATATAGAATTTCCTTAAAAAAAATCGGATTTTTTTTTTAGATTATATAGTGCAAAGTACGGATCAAAGTCGACAATTGAAATATTGTCATGATATATAAATGTGTCTCTCCTTTGACTCGGATAATTTTTTTTTTGATTTTTTTTCCAATAATATCATGTGTTTCGCAATTTGAATCATTCGTGCCTACTTGAGAGAACCTATAAATAACTTTGTCATTGAGTTTGATAGAGCACTAAATTGTTTACAAAATGATAAGCTTCAAGTCTATTAAACACGTCAATTCAACACAGTTCTATTAGTTCTTTCTATGTTGATGAAAGAATTAGTTTTGTCCTAAGCTTAAATTCACAGTGGAGATTAAGTATTATGCATTTCTCCGAAAGATTAATTATACTCATTTTGTGTTGACATGTTTGATAGCCTTAAAACACATAATTTTGTAAAGAATTTTGCACTCTATTAGACTGAATAATAAAAATAATTATATGGTGCCAACGTTTGGCATGAATGATTGAAATAGTGGATTCGTTTGATATTATTCTAAAAAGAATGAGAAAAATTAATTACAATCAATGTAACAGAACTTTTATATATACTGAAAATATTTTCAATGGATATAATGTTTTTTTTTTGTACTTTTTTCAATTGTGTACTTTCATGCGAATTTTGTATTACGTACGTACAAAAAATCAAGTTTCTCACTGTCAATCATTTAGATGGTATAATAGATTTTGGCATTAGAAGTTTTTAGATACTTTAAAATGAACATTTGTCAAAGTAAATTAATGTCTTGTGTCAGGCATCTTCTTCTCTTTTAGAAGATGTAGAATTATTACATTTCGTATTAAACAAAGCATGATAACAAACGAACGTATTTTGTTTGTTTTTCAACATATTTCTCTTAGAGAAAAAATAAAAGTTTATTTATGACATAGAGACTAAAGCTTGTAGAACTTCTATATATCCCCGTCGTGACTATAGATTCTGTCTACGTATATCAATCATTAAAATCTTCTTAGGTCTTATTTTTAAATAGAATGAAAGGAAACAATATTGCCATTGAATGCTATGCCGGAAGCTTGAAGTCTACTATCTCTCTTAAGAATACGAAAGTCATTTTGATTTTTTTCTTGAATTTAGATTGAACGTATAGAAAATGCTCATTTATGGGAAAAATTTTGTTCACATCGTTCATATATGCGACGAAAAAATGGACTTAAACATCTCAATGAAAATTGGTTCTTTCATGGAACAAAATCTGACAATCATCATCATATAATATCGCATGGTTTTAATCGTTCATATTGCCGTGATCATGTTTTTTATGGTCGTGGTGTTTATTTTAGTCGTTATGCATGTTATTCATGTCATTATAGTGATCGTCAAGATTTATCTTTTCTTTTTTTATGTCGTGTACTTGTTGGTCATCATACACCTGGTAGTAATGATATTCGTGTACCACCAACAATTACTTTATCAAATGGAAAATCTATTCAAGCAGATTCAACAACGGATGAAAAAATTCCATATACAATTGTTTGTACATTTCATGATGATCAAAATTATCCAGAATATATCATAACATATATGAATAAAGTGAATCAACAGTAAACACTTGGTATTATTTTTTTTGTATTTTTTATTTTTTGAACATCATATCATATTTTTTTTTAATAAACATGACAATTTTTCATTTTCTGTTAATATTCATAATAGGAAATAAAGAGATATTGACCAGTTGAATGTCATAACTAATAAAAATAATTTATTACGATATGAAGAATAAATATTGAATAAAAAAATAAATAAACTTTTGACATTTCCTATTTTTTGCCTTGATACGAAAAGTAGAGACGGGCATCAGAGTCATTTTTAGGTAGTGGCCGAAATTCTCTAAATTGCCTATGATCATATTACGTTCAATACTACAAGTGTTTTCAAATGATGAGTTTCATTCTTTGATATTCATTGAACAAACTGATGTATTTTGGAAGCTTGATTTACGACACCTCATGAGTGTAGACCTTCAAAAGACACTAGTCGAATTCTGAAAACATACTCCTTTGTATAGTAAGTATCAAAGAAAAAAACTTACAGATCAAAAAATCTATTCTGTTAAGTCTGTTTTATTGATAATATTTAGTTGACTACATTTTTTTTTCTTTTTTCTATAATATTCTTCATATATTATACATACCTTTGAGAAATATTAATAAAAAGCAATATTTCATTTCATTGTTTTCTCTATGAAAGTACAATATGAAATTATAATGGCCAACAGAAGTTTAGAAAAACTATATTTTCAGATTTTCTTCTCTATAGTATTAGCTAGAGCAGGAATCTGAAAAACACATTTATGTAACTGAAAAAGAGTCTCTAGTAGGATTAGTAGACCCGAAGACTTCCGTAAAATTGTTTGGATGAGAGTCTGTGAAAAATTAGCTTTCTACCTTCCATTCGAAGCTTTTAGAGAAGCATTTTTGTTTGATAGAGCAAATGTTCTTGAGCAAGATGAGATGTCTTCGACCTATCGATGAGCTTCTCCTATCAAACTCCATCCACTTTATAAAAGACTCTAAAACATCAATCATGGCAAAACCATTGAAATTTTTCAATAAAAAGAAGAGAAAATTGTTTCTTTTTGCCGTCTATAAATTGAATGCAGGTCAATGAAGGAAAGATGTGAAGAGATCGGAGATACTTGACTTTATTCCACAGATCTTCATTCAAGCAGCTTTGTTGAAGTCTTTGAACCTACCATTCCTAATAAAGAATCCTTTCAGTTAAACATCTGTTTTTTGTTAGATTCCTACTAACTATTGACATTGAGAAGAAAACTTAAAAAAAACAACTGCTCTAAACGTATGTCTGCTACTCTTTATTATTTCTATTAGTTGATTCATACTGTGATAGAACACTTGATCTTTATACAAGCTTCATATAAGTATGTATATGTTATTATTAAATCATACTGAGATTAATTTATCAAAAGACGAGTTTGTTAGATTATGATATAACATGACAATTAATCAAATGTATAGCCTTACAAAAAATGATTTTGACAAGAATAATTTTATTTGACTCATATTTTACAAATATATTTAATGATGTTGTAAATTTGATTGACATCCAAAAATAATCTATAATCTTCCTTGCTTCTTTTGTCGGATTTCTAGATCGATAATTGATTTATTACATTGCTTTTTTACACTCTCGATCGTCTTAGAATGGATAAAAAAAGAAAAATAATGATTAATCAAATAATGTCAAAGTTAGGTCAAGTGAGAACGTGTTTTACAATTGTTGTTTTTGTTCTCTGTAGAAAATAAATCTTTTAATATGAAAGTAAAATCTATCTGATTAATATTTATTCAAAACAATAGAATGATTATTCAAGATCAAATTAATCAATATGGAAAAAAAAAACTTTCTAACAATTATTATTTATGTTCTTCAAATAATTAGAAAAATCTTATGAGACAATAAATAAATTCTTTTCTATAGAAATGGTTCAATGAGTTACTTTTTTTATGCATTTAACAAGCAACTATATTAAGCATTTGTTGTTCTTCACTTGAAAAAGTCTAATAAAAGGAATCTAGGAATGTAAAGTACTTAATCATGTAAAAACATAAGGTTTCAAGTTATTCGAGAATTTCAACAACTGTTGTGTTCTTTTATTCTTTTTTTTTCTTATTATAGAATTTATAATATGTAGAGTAAAATGTTTTGCTATTTCTTTCTTTCATGTTAACATAATTAACTATCTTAAGTGATACCTGAGCTGATTGTATATTTATTATCAGTCGACTGATTCTTTTTTTTCTTCAGCGAGCATGCTGTCAACATTTTCTTTTGATCTTTTTTTAGTGAACATTTAGAAAAAAAAACCTTTTGTTATCATTTTTCTTTTGATAAAAAATAAATAAAAATAATATTGAGATTCATAAGAATAATTTATTATTTATATATTAGTTTTTTTGTTTCATGTCATCGCGAAAGAAGTTTAGCTATCAATAATCTTTTGATTAGAAAAAATAAATAAAAAAAGTATCAATGTCAAGCATTAGTAACGTATTTATAAGTCGAGGTATAGAGATGATTATATTCATCACAAAATGTTACTCTCTTTTTTCTTTTATTTTTTTAATTTTTTCCCTTTCTTTTTAACATCCAACCCTCGATATTAAAGAAGCATACCTCGAACACATCTTAATCATCGTTTCTTTCTTTTTTATCATTTGGCGTTTGTAGTATTCTTCTAACAATGTCAGTAAAGATGAGTACTGTGTACTACAAGCCATCATCATCATTATCATCATCATTATTGCTCTCATTTTTTTCTCTTTAGATGCGAGTGTACTTCATTCTTCTATCGTTTTTCTTCTCGGTCTCTCTTGCTCTCCCTGGTCTATTTTTTTCATTTTTTTAATGTGTGCGCTCGGGAAATTATGTCATTGGAATGCATATAGTACAAAGCAAAAAAGTACGTTCACATGCAAACACATGTGGTTCGAAAAAAAAAACAAGACACATGATCCTGTTGTTGCCAATCGTTCCTTATATCAAGTGAATAGCAATATTTTTTTTTTTTTATTCATTGAAGATCTTCATTTATTATGATTATTACTGTTGAAAAACAAAGAAATAAATGAACAAAGGTTAACAAAAAAAAAACCTTGTATACAATTAATAAGTATGAATAACGGTTGTATATTAATATTGCTTGACTGAGTTCTGTTTCCTTTTTCACAAAAAAAAGTAACCTTTCGATTCTAATTATTATCATGCGTACTCAAATTATGTTGAGACATATATTGACGTCATTGAATAATAAACCCTACTGTTATCATTCATTGGTAAAAAAAAATGAGCTTTTTTTTTACGAGTTATTTGCCTTTTGTTTCTTCTACGTGCGTTCTCTAAATACAACTGATCATCTATACGAAAACATATAATGTAGTCGAGACGATGACAATAATATTAATGTAAAAAAAATTAGTATTTTTTTCCTTCCCTTATTTATTACAGCACACACACACACATATATATACATCCATATAATACATGCCTGTCAATATAAGTCAATTTTTTTTACATAGTAAGTAAGGAAACAATTTTAATTAAAAAAGAAAAAAAACGACAATAACAACATATTTTTGTTTTCTTTTTGAAAATTTAACACAATAAATGTTAATAAAAAGAAATTTTTTTATTGAATATTGTGTTAATAGATTTTTCTTTTTTTTCCCGTTTCCTGCATGTTTATCCGATTAGGAAGTTGAGAATAGAAAACAGAAAAAGATTTCATTTAAGAAATTTGACTTTTTTTAATTAGATTTTCTCTTGTCATTTGCAGTTGTTGTATCAGAAAATGTCAATACAAAACATATATATATTATATATATCATATATATATTTACATACTTCTTTATCCATCTTTCAAACATAGAAGTGTTCCGAGAGAAAAGAGTCTGCCATAGACGTCTGAGTATTAGACATCAACAAAAATCTAAGTAAATACTTATCATCATCGTCTAACAAATATATTGTAAATGTGCATACTTTCATAGTTTCAAGGGTATCAGAGAGAAAGAAAAAGCAATTGAAACGATCTCAATAATCAAGACTTATTTGTTTAGCTTTTTTTCTGTTATATACAAGTTTGTATATCTTGTTTTTCCTTTTAAAACTTATTCTATTACATGTGTCACAAGCATATTTTCTGTTCGCTTAAATTATTAACACCCCGTTTTCCGACGATGATATATGAAAAAGTATATCGACATCCTTTATGTCATACATATATATATATATATATGTATATATGAGACAAATACATATTCTAAAGTCAATGATTTTTACGCAGGTAAGATTATTTATTTTTTTGTTAAGTATAGTTAAATGAAATACAGATAAATAGGCGGCTGATCTGCTTGATCTGTTTAATTCTATGAACTCTCGTCTATTAGATAGATATAGACAATGACAGGATGGGAAATAAAGAAAAGAGAGAAACCAAGGACGATTTACACACAATAACAACGCTTTTACTAATATTACTACACGTCCATAACTAACAGAACTACAACGAGCTCGATCAAATAATCATAATCGCATTCTTCTTCTGTCTTCTCCTTTTTCTCTTTTACTGTTTCTTCTCTAGCATCGTCATCATCAGCCTAAAAAGTCGTTGGCATCGCTGTCATCGTCGTTGCGGCTGAGGTGCATTCAGTAAGGCAAGAAATCAAGCATAGTCGCATCAGAGAGAAAAAAAAGAGAAAAAAAAAGAAGCACAAAAAAACAACCGTCAAGAGTCTGGCCGAATGGTGATAATCAAAAAATGTATGCCCACGTCTCCGAAAACAAGAATGCGCCTATACATATCTTTCGTCTCATTGTCTATTAACTATTTATCATCAATTAAAAACAAAAGAATAGGATATATTCATGTTATGACAAGCTCGATGAATGACATTACCTTTCGTAAATCGGTCTGTATATCTTTTAATAGAAATTTGAGATAGAAAAAACTAAATAATTGTTTTCTTTAATTTCACACATGAAGTCATCAAGATCAGCGAGTGATCAATATAGACACAACAACAACA